CCAGCTGTCCAGCATCAACTTGTATGCTTGGCCAACATCTCCTACGTGGCCCAATGCCCGCGCTCTCACTGAGGAGATGCTCCAGAGTATCACAAGTGAGTACATCCTCGGCTCCCACGGACTGCGATACGTCTTGGGTGACTTCAACCACCCCGAGACCCTCCCCTCACTTCAAGCCTGGATGCAAGCCGGTTGGGAAGAAATTCAGACACTCTACGCCAGAATCTCTGGATGTGCTCCTCAGAACACGTACAGAGGAATCTCTCGACCCGACCGCATCTACATCTCTCCTGAGCTGGCGGCCTACTTTGTCCAATCCCGCTTCACAACCTGGTTCTCCGACCATGGAGCCCTCTCCGCCACGTTTCGACTTCCCGATGGTGGCGCTTCCTACTGGGCTTGGCCTCTCCCAGCTCAGATTCCATGGGATGATGTCCAGATCGACGCCTGGCACTCCGACTTCCAGCCCGAGCCTCAACTTCTTCAACCTACCACCAACCTCACGCATCACTACGCACAACTTGGCCAACTTTACGAGGAAGGCCTCCATCAGCACCTTCACGCTACATCGCGCACCCCACTTCCCTCAGCTTGTTGGGGAAGAGGACAAAGGCTTCGACCCAGACGGCGGCTTCCGCAACCACCACTATCTCGACCCAGTCGGCAAGGAGAAGTCCACCTCTGCTCCGACCAGGTCGGCCGCGCCGTCTTGCAGTGGTTCCGCCAACTCCGTCGACTTCAGAGCTTACTACACTCTGTCAAAGCTGGCGGTCAAGAGGCTACTCATCAACTTTACCGTGCTGAAGTTTGGCGAGCTGTCCTTGTTGCACGGGGCTTTCAATCATCCTTCTCTGAATGGTGGCAGACAAGACGGCACCAGCTTCAAGGCAGCCCTCATTGCTTACCAGCACATGCTCCTGACCTTGAAACACTTCAACGAATCTACACTGACTATCAGCACAACTTCCGCTCCTTCGAGAGCTGGAATCTGCGCCAGCAAGCGAAATGCAATCGGGTTAGAATGCAGGAGCACCATGCTCGCATCTTCAAGACCCTCAAGCCGGCTAGAAGAGAACCCATCGATCGCCTGGTCGAAAAGAAGACTGCTACCATCATTGCGGTCTCCTCGGATGGCACCCAGGTGCTCACTGACCAGCCCTTGTCGGTCGCCAAGCACGACTCATGGTGGGTTGACAACGTCCCGGCACAAATCACCCACATCACCCCGGACACCTTCCAGGTTGACACGGATCTCCTCCTAGTTCCTGGACAACAGCTACATCAGCACATCCACATCACTGAGGATGCTCAAATCCACGAAGCCCTCAGCCACTTCTGGACCGACAGATGGAGCAAGCGCAAGGACCTCCCTCCAGAAGCCTGGCAGCGCATCTTCGGCTTTGTACAAGCTTTTGTACCACGGAGTTTGATCAAGCTTCCCGACCTCGACCTCTCTTCTTGGGATCAATCACTGCGAAGATTCAAGAAACACACAGCAAGAGGCGCTGATGGCTATGGACGCAACGACCTTGTCAACATGCCCGATCCACTCCGTCAAGCCCAAGTGGACCTCTTTCGCTGCATTGAAAACGGTGGACAATGGCCACAACAGCTGCTCACCGGCTTCGCTCATGGCATCGCCAAATGCGACGGGGCCGAAGAGGTCGCTCAGTTCAGGCCGATCATTGTGCTCAGCATGAACTATCGCAACTGGGCATCCCTCAGAGCTAGACAAGGACTCTCCAGACTTTCGCAGCTTATGGATTGTCCAGCCTTCGGCTTCTTGCCTTCTCGTGAGGCTCAGGAGATCTGGCTTCCTCTACAAGCTCACATTGAGCTCCACGCTCAACAGAACCGACCTTTGGTTGGATGTGTCGCCGACGTCGAGAAGGCATTCAACCACTTGCCGCGAGTGCCCATCAAGCAGATCGCCAAACACGTTGGCTTCCCCTCCAACTTTGTGGAGGCCTGGCATCGATTCCTCGTTGGATTCTCCCGAAGATTTTGCGTCCATGACACGGTGGGTGGCCCGCTCTTCTCCAACTGCGGCTACCCCGAAGGATGTCCACTCAGCTGCCTGGCCATGGCTCTTGTGGACTGGTGCTACCACCTGTACCAATCACACTTTTCGCCACAGGCCACCTCGGCATCCTTTGTTGACAATCTTGAAATTGTCGCAAATCACCCAGGAGCACTACTACACGCAGTTGTCACTCAGGACGCCTTTCTCGAGATGTTCCAGCTACGGATCGACCTCGACAAAACCTACCTCTGGGCGGTCCATCCTCAACATCGGCAGCAACTTCAGCTTATGGGGCGCCGTATGAGCCTCAAGGATAAGGATCTCGGCGGACAAATGACCTATGGTGCCCGCAGGAGAACAGCCCATCACCCGGACATCCTTGCTGGACTTCAACCAACCTGGATCCTGCTCAAGAAGCTCAACGTTCCAACCTTCAACAAGCACCTTGTCCTCTACCAAGCCCTGTGGCCACGTGTCTTTCACAGTGCGCCCATTGAGGACTTCTCCACTGCCAACATCAAAAGCCTACGCACTGCTGCAGTCCGAGCCACTGGCGCGGGACGGGCAGGGGCAAGTCCCCGAATCCGGCTCAGTCTTCTTTCAGGAAACATCCTGTGTGACCCCGGATTTTTCCAGCTTTGGCAGGTCGTACGCACCTTCAGGCGCATCCTCCACAAGCAGGCTTCCCTGATTGACACCTGGGCCGAATTTACTGCCTCTTACGATGGCCGTGCTTTTGCTGGACCATTTACGGTGTTACTACGACAGCTCAACGCCATCACGTGGAAGATTGCATCCCCACCTACACTTGTCGATCATGAAGGGCATCACCACAACATACTGACCATTGACATTGGCCTCCTCCGACTACTTCTTGAAGACGCCTGGCTACAATCCACCTCTCGGGATCTTGTTCAGCGGGCAGACTATCAGGGCCTACAAGGAATTAACTGGATAGCCAGTCTTCACTGCAGTGCCCGACTTGACGCCCTCAAAACTGCCAGGGTTAACACCCTTCGAGAAGGAGCCTTCTACCTTAACTCCCAGAAGGCCAAGTTCGACAACTTCACTGCCAGCCGGTGTAATCACTGCTCTGCCCGAGATACCGCCGAACATCGTTGCCTTGAATGTCCAGCACATGCTGAATGTCACGCCCAGCACGATCAAGCGCGTCGTCTTTGGCATGATTCACCTGTATGCCTACGTGAACGACTCCTTCTCCCTTGCAATCCGCTGCTTTGTAAAGTCAGGGACTATCTCGACAGCCTCAAGTACAAGCAGATTGTCTTTGAGATCTACGCCCAACCTGGTCAGACCGTGCACTTGTTCACTGACGGCTCCTGCACATCTCCTACGTACCGGCCATTGGCCTTGGCATCCTGGGCAGTCATCTCTGCAACGCATGCATGCCAAATCGTAGCAGGACCACTTGCCGGCAAAGCGCAATGTATCAACCGGGCTGAACTTACAGCCATTTTGTACGCTGCAAGATGGACACATCAATGCGGATGTGCTACAACCTTGTGGACTGATTCTGCATATGCCGCTTCTGGTGTTTGGAGACTTCAAGCTGACGAGTTTGACGCCCCTGATACAAGCAACAGTGACCTCTGGCAGGAGCTCCGGCTGCATCTTGAGCGCCTTCAACCTGGTCAGTTTCGGGTGCTTCACCTTCCTGGCCATGGACGCCCTGATGAATGCGAAGACCCAGCTGATGAATGGACCATCAGGTGGAATGGGGCTGCTGACGGAGCAGCCAAGCTCGCAAATCAGCAGCGGGAGCCCTCCTTCTTGAGTCTCTGGAAGGAATACCAGCATGCTGAACAAGCACAACTTCACCACCTTCGCCTTTTCCAAGCCCTTCACCTTGCTGTTGCACGCAGCAATGAGAGCAAGGAGAAGGCCAAACAGCTTCGGCACGCTCCTGATGATATCCCTGATGATGAAGAGGTCGCGACCTATCAGCACAGTGAGGGACAGGCCAGCTGGCTCGTCTCACTCAGTCAGGAATGGTCATCTGAACTCGATGGTTCGGAGCTTGAGTTTCAGTTCGGGCCACGTTTTCCTCGACAGGTTTTTCAATGGCTTCATCAGAAAGCCTCCACCTGTGCTAGCCCGGTATTCGTTTCATGGCTTGAGGTTGCTGTCGCACTCAGGCTTGCATGTATCCAATTTCCGGCCCCGGCACCTCACCGCGATGGTGCCATTTGGAGGGACCAGCATGAATCCACCTCAGTTCAAGGTACCCTTGGCTGGGATGTGCACTTGATTAGGCTTCTTTTTCGCGGTTTCGCTTCCTTGTTTTCCTTGAACTTAGGTGAGATTCGAGGCCTCAACCTTTCGTTGCCGGAGTTGGGCCTCCTCAAAATGGTCTAACAATAGACCTCCCACATCGCGTTCTTGTCGATGTGGCAAGTGCAATCCGCACCTTCTGCACTGGCCGGCCGCCAATGATTTGGCCAGGCCTTTTCGATAAGACCCCACAAGGGGGTCTGCACTCGCTGTGGCACAACGCCACCTGACAGATTGGACGTGCCGCACTGCCGCCCGGCCGTGCGCACGTTGCAGCGCGTGAGTGTGTGAGAACCCTTTGCCGTCGTTGCCTTGCAGCGAAAACTCAACCAGCCCGACCCCAACTCGAACCAGGGACCTTTCAAGCGCTTGGTATCCTCTTGTCTCTTTCAAGCCATCCAAGGGGCTCCACAACTTGAAATGAGGGAAGGACGCCAGAGATGGCGAAAAGTCAGCTCCAATGTCTCGTAGCCTTTCACACCTTCTCCAACTTTCTCGAAGGCATGTGTGAAGCCTGGCTACACCTATGCAGCTTTTCCCCAACCTCTCCATTCTGAATTGGCTGTGGGTCAATAATGGGTACCCAAAATGGAACCCTGGTAGATGGAAACAAAGACAAACACCTGAGCTCTTCAATTTGAGCCCCCAGCGCACAACCTCCAAGCCATCGATCCAGACTTGCCAGGCTCCAAGCGCTCGATGGCCCCGTGGAGGTCCTTGGAATCTGCACTGCGCAGGGAATTTGCCTCGAGGCGCGCATGATGCACCCGGACGCCTTGGGTGTGTTTCGTCCTTTCCTCTGGGGTCGCCGTTTCTAGGGGGTATCAAAGTGAAGAAATTGGGTTGTTTCCCTTTAACCCCCATGGCAAAATAATGAGGCCAGTTTCTGGTAGGGGCTCATAGCAACTTCACTCACTCCCTGAGCTTCTTCTGGACTTCAAACTCTTGGGAAGACCATTTTAATGGCAACCAGAAAGTTTGGACGAGTTTTGGCCAATCCGCTCAGGAAGTGAAGTGTGTTCATCTTGAAAGGTCATTTGAGCACGACATGCCATGGCAAAAGGAGGATACAATAGATTCCGTGCTTGGAGGACTATCTATATATATATAGATACACGGGGGATCAGGGTTCATTTGAAGTACCCAAGCGGTGAAGACAACAACGGCCACACGGCCCATGGCTCTGCTAGCTTGGAGTCAGGTTGCCCATGATCCTGGAACAAGTGATCGATTTGTTTGGTTGCCAATGTAATGGGATGAGCGCAATCGCGTCAAGCCGCGCAATCTACTCAACCTGGATGGCTGGTGCCACAAAGTTCCGATATTGATGACAGATCTGATGGCTGCTACAGGTAGTCATAGGGGATGACAACCATTGCACATGCAACAGATAAATCACAGAGTCCCGTATCGTGGTACGGGCGGTGAGAGGATGTTTAGTGAGGATGAGCGGGGTGTGGTGACTATATAGACGCTTGTCAGTTTGTTCATTGCCCGTTTTTTCCCTTTTTGTTTTCTCCTTTTTTTGTCTGTTGTTTGCTTCCTTGTTTGATTGATTTATTTATTTGCTTGGTTTGCTCGTTGCTTGGTGTGCTATCTTTGGCTTTTGTTTGTTTTTTTGCGACTGCGTCTGCGTTTGTTTCTGCGTCTGTGTCTTTGTCTGTTTGTCTGTGCAATGTGTGTGTGTGTGGGTTTGTTTGTTTCGATCTTTGCATGTGTTGGGTTCTGTGCTTGTCCGGGGTAACCGTGTATATAGAAACTACAGGGCAGGAGTGAGGGCGTTGGCCTTGTCGTCATCGTCGTCGTCGGTGTAGTAGTGGTAGTGGTAGCGGTAGCATTCGTGGTTGTGGTGATGGTCGTGATTGATGTCGTCGCTGCAGCTGCTGCTGCCGCTGGTGGCTTTGTTTTGTTTGTGTTTGCTGCATCTGTTTGACTCTGATCTTTGTTGCTTGTTCGCTGTTTTCGTGGTCGTTGCCGGTTAGTCGTCTTCTGTTTTCTCGGCTGGATTCAAAAGAGGAGCAGGGAACGATTGAAAGGCGCGTCGTGGTCTGAACAACGCGGAAAGGTTGAGGACACGAAGCCTGAAGCACTACACATATAGGCTAATGGCTCTCTTAGATGGCGTATTTAGTTGCAATAGGCAAGATGTAGCGACCATCAACAATTATGATGTTTGTCCTTTCGCCGGCTTTGTCCAAACGACGCCGACGGGGACAACTTGGCAAACTGCAGGTGCCAGACTTGACGCTCTACGCGACTCCGCCGCTGCCCCGCGTTTTCCTCTTGGCCGCCCAGATGCATTGAGAGCGCACGCCTCTTAAATGAGTATCATCAACACCACCGCCACCACCACCACCCCACCACCCACCCACCCACCCACCCACCCACCCACCCACCCACCCACCCACCCACCCACCCACCCACCCACCCACCCACCCACTTACCTACCCACCCACCCACCCACCCACCCACCCACCCACCCACCCACCCACCCACCCACCCACCCCACCCACCCCCCACCCACCCACCTCACCACACACCACACACCACACCACCACACCCACACACCACACACACACACACACACCACACACACACACACACCACACCACACCACACCACACCACACCACACCACACCACACCACACCACACCACACCACACCACACCACACCACACCACACCACACCACACCACACCCACTACCACCCACCACCACCCACTACCACCCACCACCACCCACCACCACCCACCACCACCCACCACCGCCACCACCACCACCACCACCACCACCACCACCACCACCAATCATCATCCTCCTCCTCCTCTTCCTCCTCCTCTTCCTCCTCATCATCATCATCATCATTTGCCACACACACACACATGTCCAGACAAGGGAGGGGGGGGTAACGGGAGGTTTATTTGCAAAAATCGCACTAGGAAATGGGCCAGCGCTGCTGAACTTGGGTGCTTTGAATATTGACTGTGGCTGACATGGCGAGTCATCCGGCATGTCCAATTCACACCTTGCTGTGGCCCGGGTTGCATGGTCGCGGCTACTTGCTTGCTGGGTTTAAGTAACCTTGCACTCCCTCCCGAGCAGAACAGTGCAGGTGGCTGAAGATTGTTGGAATGCCCTTGAGTGGTTTAGTCCAACAGGTTCATGTCCAGTGGATGTCCAGTGGTTCCTTTAACATCCCCAAGCCTTTTGGAAGTTTGTGATTTCACATGGCTGTGGGTCAACAATATGTACACAAAATGGAACCCTGGTAAATGGAACCAAGGACAAAATCCTGCAGTTTCCCTGGTGGCCCCATGCCCACATGTCCAGAACTCCATGGCACCAGGATTGGTACTCCGAGATGCTGAATGACGCCGTACGCAACGAGGCTTTTGCTACTGCCATTCGCAAGAAGGCCTGTGGCGCTCGCGCCCTTTGGCGGCACTTGGAGCAGGGTAGCCAGGTTGGGGACGCATGTAAACCTGCTACTCTTCACCCAAAGGGGCTGAACAAGCTTGTAGGTGGCATGTAATAATTCTTCTTATACAGACCTGTTTTCGGTTGCAACATCGCCCTTCTGTTTGTCATTCCCCCCCCAAAAAGAAGAAGAAGAAGAGGAAAAACAAAAAAAAACTGTATTCCATTCCCCCACCCCGCCCCTCCAAAAAAGAAGACATTTCCCCACCCCCCCCCCCCCCCCCCCCCCCCCCCCCAAAACCCCCAGCCGCAGGTCGCGGACCTGGGCTGCGGCTGTGGGCTCCTCACGCGCCTGGCGCTGGACGCGGGCGCCCGCGCGGCGGTGGGCGTGGAGATCGCGCCGCACCTGGCGCGGGCCGCCAAACGCGTCGCGCCGGAGGCGCCTCACCGGCGGCTTTGGGGTTTGGGATGCGACGTGGATGGTCGATGCAGTGAATAGTGTTAACCCCGGATTAATAAACCCCTGGTTGATTAATAGGGGGTCCCCTTTTTGTGGGGATCACTTTAGGAGGGAACACCCCCCGAATAATGGGACGGGTTTATTAATCCTGGGTCGACAATAACTTCCATTTTGCTGAAAGCCAGTTATACCCTGAATCAAACTTGAAATAGGTTGTACCCCCAACCAAACCAGACATGGTCATACCCCCCTAATTATACGGTTATAACCATCCGTTTGCTGAAATGAATGATGTTAATTTCCCTTGTTGGTTTTAAAGGGGAATCGATGTCATTCCTGGCATTTTTTTGGCCAGGCGGCGAAAGAGCAAATGGAAGATAAGTAGGTTGTAGCCATTCTCCCACGGAAAAAGGTTCCGAAGAGCATGTTGAACCACTGGCACCAAAAGAGGCGGAGGTGACGTGCGGCGACATCCGGGCAGTGGCGGTGTCGGAGGACCGAGTTTTTTTTTGGGCCCTGCTTCGCGGTAAGCCAGGTTTTTGGGGCCCGTAAGCCAAACGGTAAAATCGGGGGGGGGGGGGGGGGTCAGAAAGTTAGGCTTGTGAGATTAACATTTTGGGACTTGCCTTGGTGAATTCTCCGGCCCGTGCACGTCAATTCAAGCACTTGGGCGCATGTAGAAAGCCTACGTGGTGTTGTCAAAAACGCACGAATCTGGGCTTAGGCTCGGTCATGGGGCCCCTTTTCGGAATTAGATCCCCAGCTTGAGGTATCCTTAAGGTTTCCTGTTTGTGCTAAGCATGACAAGATGCAGATGTTTGGAAGTTTGAGCATGTGCGCAAAGGACAGTGGAAGCTCAAAGTGAACATGTCACTCACAATGCTTGTCTTGTTTTTTTTTCTTTGCAGGGATATCCTGTCGGGCTTGTTTTGAAGGGAAAACAAATGGCAACAACCATTTTGCCGTGTCCAGCTCAAGACGCTTTTCATGCTATCCGGGTGTGTTTTGCTGAGGGTTAGAGGATTTGAGCGAGACATTTGCTGACCATAGCTTCAAGTGAATGGGATGTTGGCTCAATGAATTCTTAGCACTTGGGAAAATTAAGACGCTGCTTTCACAAGTGCTCATCCACACCTCCAAACCATTTTGTTTCAATCCATGGCCAGCCGGAGCGAGCAGATTTGCCTTGCCGTATGGAGTGGACCAAGAAACAAGTGCAAACTTTGAAAGCTGTTCCTGGACTTTGTAATTTTGGGTTACCATTTTAGTCGCGAACAAGTCTGGTCACTTTCTTGGCCCATCCGCTGTGAGAACATCTCTCCCGGGCGACAAATCGCCGGTTGATAGGAGGAGCGCTTCGACCTTTTGGTGGCAGAGCTGCTGGATGCCGGAGGCGGAGACCCCAAGTGGGGTTTCGAAGGCCGAAGGAACCGGGCGTTTCTATTTTTATGGGTTTGCAACGTTCAGGGAATCATACTCACCTCCAGGGTGTTCCTGGACTTTGAACCTTTTGGGAAGACCCTGTAAGCGGTAAGTAACAAAAGTGTGTAATTACTTTGTTTGGCAAATCTACTCAGGAAGCGAGGATATGCCACTTTCTGTGAATACCAATGAAGCAAATCCCACATGAGGGCTCACTTGGCTTCTAGGCGCCTGTAGGTGTCAGTTGTATCGTGGAGGAGAACAAAGCCAGACTTTGGGATCCTTTCCCTCACATGCACTGTGCATCAAGTCCCATTTCCTTCGGTGCCCTGTCATCCCGCGGTTCGCCATGATTGTACGCATACCCATGTGGCCAGAAGTCAGAACATCACGCGACGGCTCAACATCCTTGGCACAAGGGGCATTTTTTAGTCCCGGTCTCGCTTGTCTTGCATGCTTGCTTAATTTCCGGCTGTTGGACGGCGGCAGCTGAAGCGGCACCAAATTCGTGCCAGGGCCAGGGAAATCATCACCGGCCTTCATTTCTGTTATATATTTCTGAACGGTGTCTTCCTTCCCTCAGGAAGCTGTTTGGCTTTTCCATGAACACGACAGCTGCAGAGCGACACGCAAAGCATCCCAGAGCTCCAAGCCTTAGGGATCGTTAAGTGGGATGTCCTCTTTTCAGGGGCACCCAGTTTTGCTGGGTTGCAGGATACCCAAAGACACCCTTCCTGCGGGGGGTAGTTGGAGACCAAAGCTACTTCCGCTTTGAGTGAAGTCCTGAGGCCTGGGGGAGAAGATTGTGCCCTTCATGCGCCACGCGAAGAGCAGGCAGTGAGAGGGGTATGGGGGTGCAGGGGCATGTTTAGAGAGGTTCGGGGTTAAACATCACCTGAGGGTCATAAAACAGGAGCAGTGTACGGCAGTGTACGGTGTTCTAAGTTGTGCAAACTGATGCAAACTCGCCCCAAGCTACAAGGATCTCCATGCCACCGTCGGCTATTCCTCGGTTTCATGTGGCAAACCATTCGTACCTGTCAGGTGTGCTATGGGCCTTACATGTTGGAGCTTAGGGTGTTTGCCAAGGGACTCGTTACTTAACTGGTCATGCTTGGATATCACTGATATCACACGGGTTCTACACGACCATGTGCCCCAAGGAGGGTAATTATCGTTACCCATAGGTGGCCCCTACCCGCGGCCCCTTGAGGCTCTTGGCTCGCCAGGCTGGCCACAAAGGGCGCCCAGTGCGTGCCGCGGGGGCTCAAGGTCAAGGCGCTGCTGCTGGAGCTGCATCTGCCGAAGCTCCGAAAGGTCGCGACTCGGCGAGTCGGCGAGTCGGCATCTCCTCGGCACCTGGGGACGGTTTTTTCCGCTGGAAGTGCTGGGGTTCCACGTATCAAAACTTGGGGCTTTTCCTCAGGCGCATCAGTGCGTGTGGGCCGGCAATCTGCAGAGCTTGCGGGTCATGGCCAAGATGTGGGGAGAAAATGGGCCAGACCCGCACTCAAGTCGCAGATAGTTACAGGTTGGCCAGTCCCTTTGCACTGCAAAAGAACGAATATAGAGAACCGCACGGCGTGCCCTTTGCTATCTTTAACGGGAGGCCAAATGGAAGACCTAAATCCATTTTTTGGTTCATGACTAAACGACGAGCCCATATCCAACTGAGAAGAAAGAGAGCGGCATGTATATCCACGGCATGACTGCATAGCTGCCAAAGCATTTTGACCGGTGATTTTTGGTTAGAAATAGATGGGGTCCCTTTGTTTAGATTGATTGTATGCCCCATTTGCCATGGAAACCTATCTTTTTCAAACCAACAGGTCGCCTACGGGCGCGTTTCCTTTTCCGAGGATCTCGGCGCGTGGGAGAGTTACTGGCTGCCGGCTTCAGCTGAGAAGGGCGAATGGCTGGGCCTGGATTTGGATGCGGCCGAGTGGACACCAGCCAGGAAGCCCAAGCGGGGGGGAGGTGTTTGGCTCCTCTTTTTGGAGTTGTTAACCCTGTTTGGCAGGAACCAAAAGGAAAGCCGCAGCTTTTGATAGGTTCATTTTTTTTTTGGGGGGGGGGCGGCTGAATCCTGTAATAAGATACACCCGAATACCAACGAGGCCGAAACTGGCAACAGCTGCTGGCTGTCTTTTCTTGGTCTCCTTTTGGCTGGTTTGAAGGGGGGCAAAAAGGGGATAGTGAGTTAGTTCTTGCGCAGTCTTATGGCCAAGATAATTGGACTCGATCTGAAAGAGAAGCTGGCGGGTCATGCGATTCGAGTGGGTGCCATGACTCTGGCTTTGGCGCGAAGCCGGAGACTCCTCTAATCATTAGTTTCCCCAAGGGACACTGGCTTGACACACACATATATATATATGCACATATATATATATATACATATATATAATGCGAAGTGGGTCCCCCCGGAAAAAAAAAGATAAGAAAAAAAACGGTTTTAGCATTATGGGTCCCCGGTTCGTTCTTCGGAAAAAACCTGACTGTTTGTTTTTCATTTTTTTCGCAGAGCGCTTGATTCCCCGCAGCCAGCAAGCCAGCAAGCCTCCTGAGTCCCTGAAAAAGTGGAACCCTTGGCTTCCCTTTTCTGCAAAGAGCCCGCCCCCACATAATGAATATGGCTTGAAGGATTGAAGGTGTAAAAAGGGCTCCCTAACAGGGCTGGATTTGGGCACGGGCGGGAAACTACCTACTTTAGAATTGGTTTAGCATTGGCTATTCTAAAAGTAGTATTCCCGGATTTGGGGTTTTCAAGAATCGGTTTTAGTATTAGGGGATTCTTTAGCATTAGGAAGAAGGGATTATACACATACATTTGTACACATGACATCTATATAATACGGACAAGGCAGCGATCCGACTTCGCCCAGGCCTCGTCAGTGGTGGAGGTCTTCAGTCTGCGCCTCGCCTCGAGCTGCCAGACGTTCTTGCCAGGTGAATGGGTCGAAACACTTGGGACCATACCCAAACAATCCATGTAGGATATATATATATATATATTTATATTTATGTGGTCAGGCCCCCCCCACATGAACTACCTTGCCTTCTTTCTTCATAAAATGACTGCAAAAACGCTGTGTTTTTCTGTAGGGTTGAGCTTTCTCGACAATAAAGCAAAAATGACAAAACAGATGCCGTTTTGAAGTGCCTTCTTGCAGACATAGTTCAAAATATGAAAACTATCAAGAAAAACCCTGTGTTTCCGTGTTTTTCAGATGCTACCACTATGGGTTGTAAAAAAGCGCCTGTTTTTCTTAACATTATAACAAAACAAAAAACCCAAGGCTTTTTTGGTTTTCCAAGTGGGTGGGCCCAGAAAACCAAAAGAGCCTGGGGTTTTGTTGGTTTTAAAAACAAACAAAACTCGAGGACAACCAAAACAAACAAAAGAAAACACGAGAAAACCAAAAGGCAACAATTTGAGGCGACCCCAAGATTCTCCGCATGTGTTTTTTGGTTTTCTCGAGTGTTTTGGTGTTCCTCGAGTTTTTGTTGGCTTTCAGGGCCAACACCAAAAAAGCCTTGGGTGTTTTTGGCTTTCTAAAAAAACACCGAAACAGTTTGAGCCAAACCCAAGATTGTCCTCAGAATATGGAAAGGACATAGCAGAGAAGTTTGGAACGCGCACGCGCTTCCCTTTCTTGGTGCTTTTCGGGCCGTCGCAGTTCGGCAAGACTCACTTTGCCAAGTCACTGTGGGGAGCCGAGCGCACCTTGATCTTGTCTTGCCAAGGCGTGACCAAACCCAATCTCAAAGCCTTCGACCGCGCGTCGCACCGATGCATCGTCTTCGACGAATGTGAGCATGGCGTGGTCCTTTCCAACCGTCAGGTTTTTGAATGGGGCGGTTTCCCTTTGACTCTTGGACAAAGCCCAACGCAGCAGCACTGCTATTCCGCATTCTTATACGGCACGCCCCTAGTTATTTGCACGAACGCTTGGGACCACAATTCGGACCCGTGGCTGGCTGCCAACTCGGTGCTGGTTGAGGTGGATTCCCCGCTGCGGCGGCACGAGTTGATTGAAAAGGTTCCCGTGAGGCGCCAGAGAGCAACAGCCGTTGTGTTTGGAGGACCGGTAGCGCTTCAGCAGCAGCGGCTGCAGGTTGTAGCTGGGGTACGTCTTGCGGATAGCCAGTACACAGTCAACATATGCCAAAGTATCCTTGAGGGACGCGAGTCTAGAAATTGGCACAATGCGCCTAACTCTGACTTGATCGCCAGGCTCCGAGATTGTGCCAACCGGAACCTGCACACAGTGCTCAAAATCAAAGCGCATCAAGAAATTCAGTCTACAATGCCAGATGAAGACGCCTATAATCTCCTAGGTAATCAAATTGCAGACACTGCCGCCAAACAGGCGGTTCACTCTCATCCGCATGACCTCAACCAGATCAGTGTCCGAATTGCAGCTACACAAGCCGCATGCTGCGATCGGGTTCGTACCTTGCATGACTTCATGTGGGATGTTCATGTGAAGCAGTGGGAACTCTTAAAAGACACAGATGATGTCCGTTACAGACCTTTCCGAGGACCTGATGCTCAGGTTGCCTTGGTCAACTGGGCTGTTGCAGAATCTCTACCAGCCCCAGACACATTGACTGATTCTCGACTTGAGCTGTTTCTTTACGGCACCGCTTTTGGACTATCTTTGTGTCAATGTGCAAGCGCCCTCACGTGGCCAGCTCAAAAGATACCCCACGATGCCGGCATCACTTTCCTTGAGCTGTTTATTAATTTTCTCCTTACCAACGGTGTCGAATATCCGCGGCTTGTTGGCGTTCACTTTACCAGAATTGACAGCAAAATCCGGCCGTGTCGGCCATGCCATGGGACTGGATTACTCAAACCCAAGGTTTCGAAAACTGTGTCAGAAATGTCCATGCTTCAATCTGTCGCATTTTGCCGGACGGATTCAGAGGCGAAGCCAAATCACTTCTTGCATTCGGCACCCAACAGCCAGCCAGAGGTTTCACCCGTAGACCCGAGCTGCCGCACCAGCAGGATACCATGCTTTTGCTGCAAGAGGGTTTTCCAACAGGCACCATCAGACTATTGCAGGGCGTCGTGCCCCCCTTTTCCATGTGCCCATGTCCCAAGATGAAATCTCAGAAATTCCGGGAGAGCGTTACGCCAAGCTCAAACGGGAGCGGGATCGGAATCGTGGTCGGATCAGGCGGTGATAACGCTTTCTGCAACAACCACTGTCGGCTTGAATTTATATCTCTTGTGCAACTGCACTTTGCACCGTGTTTACGACTGTGCCCACCGTAGGTTCCTTGTACAATTTGTCGTCTCACCTACGGTTGAACAGTCTTTTTCATGCAAGGAACACCCTGCATGTTTCTGTTCGCTGGACTCATGCAGACTCACCGAAATCGTGTGCGGAACCACCGGAGCATCTGCGGCTCCTTTCCGTTTTTGTGGGCTCTGTTTGGACAGGATACTTGTTCGATTTTCAGGGATGTTTCTGGGTGAAGTTTAGGTCACACGACCCCACTGTGAATTCGACTTGGTAACCCTGAAGTAAGGCTCTGGGAGAAGTAATGCCCACTATCCACCCGCATTTTCGGAATTGGTGCCTGGAGCCCGTCTTGATGGGGATTCAGAAGTTGCCGTGTTGACACGCAGCATGGCGTAACGTATTTCAGATCGACCTTTATTTGAGGTACGGACTCCCACCAAACAACCTGGGAACTGCAGCTGTAAACGCTTCGCGTTGCCCGCCTCTGCCAGTCCGCTTTTGGCTAGGTATATACTGTGCCTTGGTTTGCCTTGGAGTGTTTTGTATGTTAGAGTGGGTGAGTCGGTGCGGAAAGGCGTGGATTTGCAAGGTAGCGCATGTCCGCGCCCTTCCATATCATGGCTTGGTCGGTCTTGAGAGGGGGCTTTGACAGGCTTTAAGGCGGCTTCTAGACGGACCAGCTTCTAAGGAAATTGGCCGGTTGAGGGGCTTCGAGTGTGGTAGGCTTGAAGATCTTGAAGAGGATTGGCAGGGTCGCTTTCCTTTTTTGGGGAAACACTTGCGTGAACTGTGAAGATCGGAAAACAAGAGTCGTTGCGTTTGACCGGGCTCCTTGCGGGGCTCGTTTGGAGAGGACCCTTGTTTGATGTGCAGGGCGCGTGTCCGGGGCTAATCGCGTTCGTGGGAATTCTCAAAGCTAGGCTTTACAGCTTGTTTGTACCCACTGCTGCAGGCAAAACAAGACCCCTTCAGACCATCGCATCCTTTCGCCATGTCGGGCCCTCATTTTATCAAGCAGGGCCACGCCAATGCTGATGATCATCACTATGCATCCGCAGCATCGCCAGCAGTCATGACCTGCAAGTCGGGTCTTGATGATGATGATGATGATGATGATGATGGTTCTGATGATAATCATCACGACGCATCCCCAGCACTACCGGCAGCCATCATGATAATCACTTGAAACGTGTAGGAAAAAGAAGAGCGCCTTGATAATGATGATGATCCTGATGATGCAAATCATCACCCAACATCAGTGATGCTGATAATCACTACTATGCATCCGCAGCCAGCAGTCATGAAATCCTCACTTTGCATGTCAAGTCGGGTTATGATGATGATGACGATCATCACTACGCATCCCCAGCATCACCAGCAGTTACCGTGACGACTCCTGATGAGAATCATCCATATGCATCAACAGCATCAGCAGCAGTTATCATAGCAATCATGACTATGCATCACCTGCATTCCAAGTCAGGTTTCACAGCACACTTGCAACATATCTGAAACAGAAGAATGATGATGATCCGGATGCTGCGAATCATCACCCAACATCAGTGGTGATGATAACCATCACGAAGACAAGGACGAATGCAAACCCTTCCCATACGCCTCCCTTTTTGGAGAAAGGGGTCGGCGGAGAGACCTTGAGACATTGCAACAACACCCAAAAGGTGGGGGCCTGAGCATGTATATACATATATATGTGGACCAACTCGCACCGCTTTGAAGCCATGGGAATGAAACCTTTGCTTGTTGATATGGGGAATCATCATTCCAGGGTTTCTTGGGTGGTGTAGGATTTCGTCCATCCACAGTATGTACCAGACCCCCCACTCTTTCGAATGGCCCCAGAATAGCCCATCACTTCACAAGCTATGTGAGCTCCGTTGTTGGGGTCCGGCACAATCTACCGTTTTGTTGGCGTGGTAGACTTGCAAATATTTAGGCACCAACCATGCACACAAAGGCTTAGGCCCTCTTTTGGTGTTGGCGTATCTTTTCGTTTGCGGCAGTCTGCCACTGCGTTTGTTCTTGCCTGCACCGAAATGACCTTTTTCAAGCCTCCTTTTCACTGTGGCCAATTTTGGCTGCTTCTGGGTGTCATATTCAGTTCAGTTTTGAACCTCTCTCTTCTGGGTGGCAATGAGTGGTACAAAACCATGGGTCTGTCTCCAACTGGTTTCACAGGCCTGGGGCCAGCCACGCTTCCCCCCTGTCGGCGTTTTCCTCCGTTTGCGGGCACAGGCTTCACTATGTGTTCTGCTTTGGGCGGTTCTGGCACACGGCACACAGGGCGGTGATGTTTTTTGGGTGGCATTGTAGGCCCACTTTTGGGGGCGGCATTCTGGGGGACGCCGGTCGGATTTCCAACTTCTCCCGCGAGGAGGTTGCGTTCGGCGCATTTTGGCGCGCGCCGAGGAACTTCGAAGGGCCTCAAAGTGGGCTAGCCGAGGCGCTGCAGGAGTGAACTGGGAGAGGTCCCCCAGCGATCGGTGCCCTTTCTCACCCGTTTCTTTTTTGGTTGGGAGATTCGGTTCCCCTACTAAAATAAACCACGGAGAAAAAAAGGGTACCCTTATTCCAACCTCGCTACTGCAAAACCTAGGAGTCGTGGGGAAGGGTCTGGTTGAGAGATGGATGCGTTGCCAAAGGCTTGATGGGATGCTTAGTTGCATATTGGCTTGGGTTGATTTAGGGGCCCTTGTCCTATGCAGGACTCAGCGTTCAGATGGTTCGGCGAGAAGCTTCGCTTTTAAAGGTCACCCTAAAAAGGGCCTCCAAAGAAGACGAGCTGCCCGTTTCGCCAGGAGCGCGCGGTGTCTTTCGAGGTGTCCGGGCGCTTCAATGCCGTCGCCTGGTGGTTCGAAGCCGCTGCTTGGCCCGAGTCGATGGGAAGGGCGCCAATGAACTTGGTTCCCACCAAAACCCCCCAATGGCTGGCAAATGGTCTGTGGAATGACCTCCCGATGCCAGCCAGTCTGGGGTCCTGGCAGCCATCCCGTTCCCTTGGTTTGCATGGTTCCATTGAACCCACCAACAGTTGGTCACTTCTAGCAGGGGATCTGGTTACTTAGCTTTTTAGCGGTTTCTGTTTGGTTTACTGGGGGGGTTCAATTGAACCCACTGGTTCCGTTAGTTTACAGAGTTCCTTTTGACCCACTAACAGTTGGTCACTTCTGGCAGGGGATCTGGTTCCTTGGCTTTTTGGTGGTTTGTGGTTGGTTTACTGGGGGGTTCTATGTAACCCACTAAAAGCTAGTCACTTCAGGGGATCTGAGGACAGCCCAGACGTCTGGGTGAATCTGAGGACAGCCCAGACGTCTGGGTGAAATAAGGAATTATGGAGACCTCAGGGAGTCGTTTTGACCTCATGGCGACGGCTGAGTTCTTAGGGATCCAGCTTCTTTCCGCTGGTGGATTATAGCTTCACCCTGATGTTACAAACAGCTTGGATGTTTAAGTACTAGAAATGCACAATTGGTCCCTGACATGGCGACGACGAAGCTGTTTGAAGATCCAAACGGCCCCCGCGCAAAGTGGGGGTTGCACGACGTGCTTCAGAGCCAACGTGGCCAAGTGACCGGATAGACGTTTGCTTCGAGGACTTGGGCATCGGTGAAGAAGGCGAAATCGGGGAGAGTGAGATCCCGTCGCTTCAGGGATGTCTCGGTGTGCTATGTGTTTTGGTTTGGCAGAAGGTAGATTTGAGTTCCTGCCTTGGAGTAAATTAACTCTGGCGATCTCGGATGTCCTAGCCTTTGACGCATTGCGAGCATTTGGAGGTGAGCATTGTTCTAGGGGTACCTTCCCCCTTCTTTCCAGGGATGCTTCTTTCTAGAAAATCTCCGGAATCCCAGGGAAAATATCAGGTTTTTGAAAAGGACGATGGTTGAAAAGAATGGGGAATTGTGGGCCGTTTCGCTTTTGAATCATGCATCCAGTTGCTTTCAACCGTAAGGTGCGGCCATCAAACAGTAAAAGGCTGGCTCGACGTGCTTCGAGGGTCGGGCGTCGGTTAGAGGGAGGCCAAAGGGAACATCGGACTCGTTTTGGGGGGTCCGAAACCTAAAACAGACACACCCATATTGACAGGTTAAAGCATGTAAATATTGAATGCCACAAGTCGCTCGACAGTATTTGCGTAGAAGCCATGTTAAAAACCGGAACGGTCCTGCATCGCGCAGATTTGCGGAGCATAATTTGGTACAGCGGCAATCCGCACATTGTCCCTCAGTGGAGCTTTGTCAAGCTGCGTGAGCGCAGTGCGGCTCAACATGTCTTGGCAACATAGTTTTAAATGCATGATTGCTGAAAAAGGCAACAGATTCGATTGGGATGAATTGCTGCTCACCTTGATATTGTGTGAGATACAGAATCAAAGTCGTGGTGACGAGGCCAGCTTTGCTTTTCTATGACATGGGGTGCTTCTTCTTGATGCTTTCGCAGCCTCTTTTAGGCACTTGCTTCAACTGTGCATCGTCTCGTTGTGCATTGCTTTCCATGGAATCGTATTGCGTCGTCGCAGCTAACAGCGACGCATCTAAACGGATGCTCAACAGTTTAAGATGGAACCCGCCATTTTAGGATCAGAATCTCTCTTTGGGGACCCCCGTTTTTTTTTTTTGGTCATTTCGGCAGAGGAAAGGAACATCGGTCCTTTCCAGGCCCGGGCCTTTTTTGGTCTTTGGGGCGTACGTTTTTGAGAGGCGCCTGCGACCTCACCAGCGCCCCTGCTCGGTTCCGCAGCGGCGGAGGGACCCACTGGGCGCCTTGGGAGTTCTTCGGATTCGGAGTCGAGGAGTCGAGTCGATGGGTAGAAGGAGGTCACCAATGATGGATACCTTACCCGAGAAAGGGGCTCCTCCTAACTTCCAGTTTTTGACTTGCAATTTGCCCAGGGTGTCATGAGCTGGGTGGATCCCAGCCATGGTTTGGTGCTTGGGTTTGCATTTCACCCACTCAAAGCTCAACTTTTAGCAGTGGATTTGAGCCCAATTGGTCACTTGCCCAGATGGGTGCCTTTGTTAAGGAGTTATCCTGTTTGTTTCCCTTTAAACCCACCAAAGAATGGAGCCAGAACCAGCATGTCAAGGATTCCATCCTTTGTTACTGAATCCTGGGTTCCCTTTTTTGGAACGGTAGCTGCGTAAAGGGAGGCCTATCATTTGCCAGGTTTGAACAAATCAAATCTCATTTTGGTTGGCGACGGGCATGCGGGTTTTCTTGGGCCCTTCTTTTGATTTCTTTCGGGTCGACTTTTGCAAGACCAGATAGTGGTTGAATGGAACCAACACGGAGAGGATACATTCCGAAGTGCAAAGCAAGGTGTGTCACAGTTGCTTTGGGAGAAAACAAATCCAGCATTCGGGGTGGGATGTCGCAGCGCCAAAGGACAGAGCAAACACAAGGCCAGGTTTCAGTGCGAGACGTTTCGTCGTCCGGTATTGTGGTGCATGTTCTTGCCACAAAGGATTTGATTTCACGAGCAGACGCATTTTGGCGAGCCAAGGTGCAAGCCGTCGCAGGCAGGTGCAACAGCGGGACATCGAGCTTTCCACGTTCAAACTTGTGTTGTGGATCCCCTGCCTCTTTTTTCACTGGTTTGCTGATGACAAGCAAGAAGGAGAGCCAGTTTTCCATGCCGCTCAGCAGCTGGCCATTGTGCTTTGAAGAAGGAAACACAAGTTGCAACTGAGGCGCACTCTCTGTGCCAGGTTGAAACCACCGCTCACTTGCCAGAGGCCGTCCATTTGACCTTTTGCCCTCCCGTGGATTTGGGTCACGCCGTGTCCACATCCCCGTCTCCCCCGATTTTTGGGCTGGAGATCTGGGTTTGTCGCTGTTTGAGGGATTGGTTTGCCATGAATTAAAGGGAAACAAGGAAGCCATCCATGGGAGCCACCCGTGAAAAGGTTTGTCGATCTGGAGACCTCATGAGCGATTCTTTCTTGGGAGTCCACTTCAGCTTCAATTGATCCTGGTTGGGCTCTCATTGTGGGCCCACACTTGACCCAAATGCAGAAATTCTGAAATGGAGCCCAGCACTGGAAAAATAAAGGGGACAGCTTGCTGTGTTGCCAGCAAACAGGTTGTACCCCTTTTTCGGTCGGTCAAAGGCAGAAACAAGGAATCGGTCCTTTGGGGTATTTGGGGGTCCAGGTAGTTTGCAGGAAAGTCCTGCGACAGTTCTGTGCAAAGCCAGGTCGCGCTGTTTTAGCCGCCGCATCTAAGTGGTCCGAACTTGGTTTGGTGCGTCCAGAGATGGCGCCAGCGATTTGATTGGAATGCTTGAGGATTCACGTGAATGCACTTGGGGAAGAGAACCTAGCTGAAAGCAGCATTTGTCACGCGGGTTTCACTGAGACGCCATGATTGGCACGGGTCTGTCTTGGCGGCTGGAGTGTGGGATCTCGATCTTAACAAGTTCCGGGGGAGGAGCCTAGAAGGTTGAGGCTGAGTGCAGCCGGTGTCGCCAGGCCTCGGGCCGTCAAGGCAGGTGGCATCTTTTCAGACGCGCGTGCGCACGGACGGGGTGCAGATCACTTGGACACCCTTGGAGGCAGATCGGGAAGTTGGACAGGGTGTCTTGGGAGCTGGGACCTGGGGCCTTTCTGGTTTTGGAAGAAAGAAAAGGAGTTCCCGATTGTTGAGCGGCATCGATTGGTGTCGAAGCCGGTGAATCTTCAGATCGGCGCCGCCTTCTGTTCAACTCTTCCCACGGGTCCAACCGGACGGTAACAGCTATTAGTCACCCCAGTCGCCAATGCAACGTGACAGGGTCGACCCTTTCCGCGCGTTCCATCCAAAGAGCCGCAGGCTTTGGCGCCCGCGTTTTCGGCGGACGTGGCCCTGTGGCGAGACGAAAGCGCTGAAGCGCAGCAGCGACTGAGAGGCCCCCTCGGGCCTTGCGCTGGTGGTGTGGATGGACTTCAAATCCGCTTCGCTTGGGATGGAGACAATCTATGGTTGACAGCCCCGACCAACTGGTGCAGAGCTTTTTTGTGCAACACCGTCCTGTTATCTAGGGTTGGATGCCGAATCCAGCTGTGCATAAGGTGCTAAATTTGCTAAATGAAAGTTAAAAGAGGCTATCTCCAACATCTCCCGACTGTTTGTGACTTAGGTTGGTTGAACATAGATGGATTCCTAGACGACTTAGATAGATCCCACTTCTTGAATTTGCTTCACCTACGGCAACGCCTTTGGTTTTGATCCAGGGGCAAGCTCCGGGGTGGGGTGGATGGTGGTAGTTCCACGTCTTTCATTGGCCCGCAGGGTTTGTCTGATTTCCGACTCATTTAGCTTCCGCTTGCGTTTCAGATTGTTTCTAGTTTCTCCTATTGGTTAAGGGAATCTACGACTACTGGACATATTGGCATCCCTCTTCAACCCATGGGTTAAGGACCTTGTGTATGGATTGTCGTGGACCTGTTGGGGATGTGAGGCTCGACAGCCAGCACCGTGGCGAATTACAACAGACCCGCTTCAGAAGTTCCCTCGGTGAACCAAAACCTTGGACTTGTGTGGTTGCCAATCCACAAGGAAGTCAGGGAAGCGAGACCTTATGCATACAACCAAGCATACACAGTCAAACTAATTTATCCATTTGTATACCCAATAAGCCTTTACACATATCTCGCATACTCTCCCTCTCTCTCTCTCTCTCTCTCTCTCTGTAGATGCTATGTCACGTCAACCGGTGGCCTCTTTCCCCACCAGAAATGGTCAACCCCTTCTTGGGGCTCCTTTCACCGGATCAGTGGACTGGCCGCCCGGCGGGGGTCTTTCTTCGGAGCTTCTGGGATTCCCTCCGGGAAGCTGGGTGCATCGGGATGCCGGTCGGATGGCTCGGGTTTGAGAAGCCTTTGGTTGACTCCTGAAAAGCCAGATGAAGGTTGGGGGAGACTCCCCATGATAAATGGGTGCCTTCGTTCCCACCCTCCTATCCCCGCGTCAGACGTGGAGCAGCGGCTGACGGCGGTGGGGGACCTGGCGCGCCTGGGCCAGGTGCAGGCGGCTGCGCTGGCGCTGGCGGCCTGGCCTCGTCGCTTCGGCCTGGAGGCGTGGAGCTCCGGGAGGAGTCAGACGCGGCATGGGTGGCCATGGGTCAAAACCAATGGTGAGAATATTACGCTGTAATTCAAAACCAATGCTACCATTTTGGGGTTTTCAGTGCACCACCCGTTTTAGAACCTATTTTAGTGGCTGGATTGGCATGTTCATTGGGGGTACGATTTGGGTTTTGACCCATGGCCAGGTCACCTTGGGAGGTTTCTTGGCGAAAGAGAGATGCAGGCTAGGTCCCCAGCTAGGTGCCCTTTCTCACCCAACTTTTTTGGTTGGGAGGGTTCCCCTACTAAAACAGACTACAGAATTACAAGGGTATCCTTATTCTAACCTCTCTACTGGAGGACCTAGCAAGGAATGAGAAATGGAATGACCCCAAGAAAAACCATCCCAGAGATGGTTGGTTTCATTCCCTCATTCACTGAGCACCAGCAAGTTTTGTATAAGTAAGTTGAAGTTCCAAGATCCATTAAGAAATAGCCATAAAGATCTGGGGTTGACCCTTGGAACTTCAACCCAATCAAACTTAAAGGGAACAAGGATGCCTCTCAACAACTGGCACAACGGGCAACTCCCCGAAGACTCCTGTAAATGGAGCCTTTTGTCTTCCATTTCAGGGTCGTGGGAGCTTCCATGAAATCGCCAGTCACCATGGAATTGTACTACAAAGTCTAGGTGACCTTTTGGGAAAACATAAGGCCCTGAAACATAGAAGGCCTGTTCATGTGGGTTTCCCTTTGTAACCACCCATCCCTTGAAGTTTCGAGTTTTGGAGGGGAATGGGTCTTTGATCAGGCTCCTTAAAAGATACATTTTGCAACCATTTGAAACATGTTTTTTTTCCACCAGAATAAAGAGACACCACCATTTACAAGGCAATGCTCAGGTGTATAATGTAAGGATCCCTGTTGATTGTTGACGGCACCCGCAAACAAATGATGTCCCGTCGCTGGTCCTCACAGGCGACTCCAGAAGTGGTGAGCCGCTTGCTGAAGGGCCTCTATGTGTGATGCGCAAAAGGCGAGCAAAAAGTGCTCGAGTGCGGGCGAGGTGCAGCGTTTCGCTATGTCTGAAGTTAGACTTTTAATATGTATACATATATATATATGTATATATATATATATACACATACCACCGAAAGTAGTGGAACGTATGTACAAACTGCTGCCTACCTCAATGATCGATGTGCACCCCTGGTCGCTCTTTGCACATGTATGGCCGCTCTTTGCACATATATCGACGCTAAGCTCATGCCACATACAATTTGTTGGCAAGTCTAGTGTGGCGAGATACGTCCTTCCTCGGAATGCGCCGAACCTCGAGATGGACTAACATGACTAGGACTAGACCAGGGTTGTTGGGCGACACATGGATGTCAAGCCGGGAGGCTCTGCGAATGTTTGGCGCGTTGCTTCCTTATCAGATGGGCCTAGAAAGTGCCCTGTCATAGGTTGGCAGGCTGGGGCCCTTTTTGCTGGTGTCCTCCCTCCGCTTTTTTGGCAGGACCACTACGCCTGCTACTGCTACTACCGCTACTACGGCTACTACTACTGCTATACTGCTGCTACTACTACCTACCAGCTTGCCTGCCCCCGCCTGGTTTGCCTGCTCGCCTGGTGTGCTTGCCCGCCTACTACTACCACTTCCACTGCCACTGTGACTATTGCGAGAAAATGGGGTGGTTTCCCTTTAAGCTACCACGCACAGGGCAACTTTGATCATGGTAACATGGGGCCTGCAGAAGGGAAAAGTGTCCCCCAAGGTCGCCGCGGCTGAGCGGGCCGGGCGCCCTACGTCCACTTGACCCGCGAGACCTGACACCGGGTGTGCGTTAGTTTAGTTTGGTTGAACATCGATTTATTTGTTGGTTCCAATCAGACCAAACTGTCTCCTTTTTTTCTGGACTTCGCCTGGTGACGTTTTTGGCAGGTCCTCTTTGTGATGTGGTAGTCACCTTGGTCCATGTTGAAAGGAGCTTTCCTTTCGTGCGACTGATATTTTGATGAACCCCAACGTTCCGAGTGGAGAGCTTTCTCGTTTCGGCTGATGTTTGGGGGGATATGAGCCATTGGTTGTATTGTTCGAGGGATGATCATATTTCAGGTAACCCTTAGTGGTGGTTTGGATTGGTGGGTTGGGGATTTGAGCCCCTGGTTCTTGTGGGTAAATGGCAAACCACCCAGAACCACCAAACCACCAATCCAAACCACCAATCAGTGGGAGGCTGATCAATGTTTCAATGGCGGTTTAGGCAAACCAGAAAGATGGTCAAGGAACCATGACCAGAACAGGGCACGCAAATGTCCCCTAGACCAGAAGGCAGCCCTAAGAAACAGTGGGTACACAGCTAGGAAGTCCCTTCTTCCCCACAAGAACGTCAGCCAAGAAGGCAAGCGTCGCGCTGCATCCCAGCAACAAACCAGGCAACACCGGGGGCTCCAACCAGCAACTCCACAGGACAACCTCGCTTGTTCTTTCGGGCAGGGAATCCTCGCGCCTGCTCTAAAAAGGGGTTGCTGGCTATGAGTTTTCTCGACACCCCAGTGGTTCAGCGGTTATTCCACACAACTGAGGTCGGTCAAAGGATCCCCTACCATGAAACACAGCCCACTCAAAAGATCATCGCCTTCCCGCAGGAGGTTGAGCTTTGGACATATGTGGGGAGGCTTCAAAAAAGCACTCGGGTGTGGAGCCCTGCAAGGTCGCGCTCAGATAGGCGGCCCCAAGCATCGGAGAAGGTGTCTTTCGTTTCCCGAGCGAGCGAGCGAGAACGCGAGCAAAAACCAAGACACACGCAGATTCAGGTCGTAAGACTCGCACGTAAAATCGAAACCCAGAGGTAGATTCAGGTGGTAGAACAGAAAGAGCTAGGGCCGCCTTTCTCATTGGACATGAGCGATTTCGAGTGGTTTTCTCTCTGAGGAGATGCGGGGCGCGGCAAAAGCCGCCGAGAACCGCGCCGCCAGAACTGGCATTTGGGCCTCTGCCAAGGCCCTTGGGGGGGGCAGGATTTGGTAAGGATCAGCTGGGTTTGTCTCATGAAACAAGCGTAGGCATCACTTTTTGGCCCAGGGTGGTGCCTAAGGACAAGGGCCTCCTTCGGGTTCTGAAATGACCCTGGTTTTGAGGTTGGGCTGAAATGAATATGTGGATGATGGGCTAGCCTTCTGAAGCCAACTGATTTTCTGGAACTCCAAGCAACCGACACTTCTCGGGTGAGGATTGCGTGCCGTATGCAGAAGCCTGGATGTTCCCCTCACCTGGCACGTGGCTTATGGCTTCCCATGGCTAGAAGCGTGACTGCATCCCCGTCCTGTTTCTTACCTTCGGGCCACGCGTTGATCCAGCTCCGCTTCGCGGGCTCCACGGAGACTCCCGGAGACCGCGCGGGTCTGAAAACTCCTCGCTGAGCTGACGGCCAGGGCTTGGCCTTGGTGATCTGGGGTGGTGCTTCGGGGATACGCTCCATATGCTTGTTGTCGTTATCTAGCAGGTAAAGGCTGGGGGGGCGGGGGGGAGGCAGGAGCAGAACCTCCAAATGGAAACGCTGATGTGTCAAGAGGCTGCGTGTAACATGGGAAGGCGGCAGGGGAACCGAGATGTTCGGGGGAGTGTTGATGGTTCTCATCCTCGAGCGCCGCGAAAGCGCAACTTGTCTTGCAAGCATTCGAGGCCGCAGCATCCATAAGACCCTGACTGCCGGATGACTCAGTTGCCCAAAGCCGACCTTTTGACCTTTCCCACCTCAGGTTCCAAAAGGTGCCTTTGATTCCCTGTATACTGGCCGCTGGGCTTCCTTTGAGCCCGATGTGATTTTTATACCCTTTGAGCCAATCAGATCGCCCTTCCCTGGGGTTCAGAAACCACCATTATAGCATGGGGGGTTGAACCCAAGGGCCTTGGTAGCCACGCACTGGCACGGCCAAAGCGATGCCAGGAAGCGGAGAGTCCTGCAAAGCACTGGCGTGAGCAGGCAGGGATAGCTGCTGGTGAGGGAATGAGAAATGGAGCAGCCCCAAGAAAGGCCATCCCCTATGGTTTCCTTTAAGGCAATCAAGGTTCATTCCCTGCTGAGCACCAGCAAGAGCAGGTCTCATGCCGTCGTGGCATTCTTCGGCTCGCTGTAAGCAAGCTGTGGGGCAAGCCACGGGTGTGTCTTGCTGCAATCTTATTTTGGCTGGTTTCATAGCGAACCCACAAAAAAAACGATTCTTCCCCAGAATAGTTTGCTTCCTGTTGCTTTCCTTTAAGACCACCCCCGGAAAGGGCTCCCTCACACGCCCGCAAACTGAAAACAACACTTACAACTAAACATACACACACACACACACACACACACACCCGCACACGCATACGCACGCGCACGCGCACGCGCAATCGCAGGCGCACGCGCACCCTCCCCCCCCCCCCCACACACACACACACACACACACACACACACACACACACACACACACACACACACACACACACACACACACACACACACACACACACACACACACACACACACACACACACACACACACACACACACACACACACACACAGAGACACACACACCACAAGACACACACACACACACACACACACACACAGAGACACACACACACACAGAGACACACACACACACAGAGACACACCACAAGAGAACACACACACACAGAGACACACACACCACAGAACACACACACACAGAGACACACACACACACAGAGACCACACACACACAGAGACACACACACACACACAGAGACACACACACACAGAGACACGCACACACACAGAGACACACACACACAGAGACACACACACACACACAGAGACACACACACACAAGACACACACACACACAGACACACACACAGAGACACACACAAACACAGAACACACACTAACACACAGAGACACACACACACACCGAGACA